CTTACTCGGCAGTCTTGCGTGTGTCTTACTAGTTTTCTCGTTGCTGTCAACCTTTGATTTAAAATATTAATATTTTTATATAATTTGACTGATACCTCGATTATACTTATCCTGACCTAAGTAAGACAGTTCAATAAAATTACTTTTTCTCAAAAATTCATAGGTATCTCAGGTATGTTCAATAAACCCTCAAATCAAATCTGACATGTTCACCCTGAAAATCTTTCGAAATCGCCGTTTTCTTTACAATCTATTATCTCTGAATGATCTTCTCTCTTCTGAAATAACAAACTTTGAATGAAAAAATTCCAAGACATCTTCCGAAAACAGTGGCTCTAAATATTGTACAAATACGCTGAGCTTTGGTACAAAAAATTAAGCGACTCGAAGGAACATATTTTTACATTTTGATACATCCTGTCGAAGCATACTTAATTTATTGCACATTTTTACAGATGTGCACGTTTTAACGAGCATAAATGTTTGCCCGAACAAGTAGCCAAACGGAAATCGAGAAAGATAGGCCGAAGATCAAGATGTATATATACGCAGAGTGTAATGATGACAAAGCAATCATTATCCTCTTCTTCTTACTTATGTGTATAAGGCGCGCGCGTGTAAGCGTCCGTCGATAATCATGCATTCTCGAGTGCTACAGAAACCGAACATCTGCTCCGATGCACATACATATACATAGCTCGGCTCGATCAGGAGGTTGGAGAAAAAAAATGGCGTCTGCCAGTCCACATTGGCGATTCTCATCTCTCGAAACTTAATGACGAGTGCTGCACACGTATTACATGTATGAATTCGCATAGCCACCGAACACGTGTGTATATGTATATTTATGTATATATATATTTATAAGCAAAAAGTGTCGGATAGCTGCGGCGTCGCGATGGGGGTATAAAAAAATGAAAAAAGCTCTTATACGTGGCACGCATTTCCGATGTCTCAATTAAGAATTAATCAATTCTCTGGACGCGGCGCGACGGTGATAGTCGTCATCTCGACGAGCCTCGCGAGTAACATCGTGCAGGCTTGATTAATTAGGTGTGCTTTTAACGAGCCACAATGAGTCGTCGGAACAAGGACGGCTCTGCGAATATTTGCATATTTATAGCGATGAACGTACCCCCGTGAAAGCAGCAAAGTCTCTCCTCTCCCTCTCTTTCTCTCTCGCAGGCGCGCTCAGCTCCGAGGGTATTTTTCTCCAATCGAATTGATTGTAGCTCGAGTTCGAGTGCTTTTATTTTTCAGACTCGCTTCAATTTACACAGTGGGATGCGGGAGAGGCGACGTTCAGCAAGGCCGCAGCGTCGCGCGAGAACCCATCGATAAATAAATCATGCATTTGACGATTTCGTAACAATAGAAATGTATTTACTATTATGCTTAATAAATGAATGAAATTACTGTGGACTATGGCTCTCCTCTGAATTCGATTTAATTACAAAAAAAAAATGTAGTACAAATACCTAACGCCACTAGGGTATTGTTCGATGCCCTTTTTTCAAATGTGCACGTGAGCAGCGACGACGGCGGCAGCAGTCAACATGATCTAGCAGACATGTTCTATTATCTTACGATTATAAAAGCTACATTTATTGTCTCAGCGCCGAGCCACGGTATATTATTGTCAAGTAAATTAAAGCGAGATCGTTATACGGGCTCTTGGTTAATATAATGTTGGAACGAGTCATTACGAAGCACGCAAATATATATCCAACCTAACTGGATTAGAACGTGTAAGAAATTTTGAAATGACCAATAAATATAACGCGTGAACACGCACTTATTCACGCGTATCTTATGTGCTTTAAATGCGACCATCTATTATAAAATTTGTACAAAATTAGAGAGACAAACACAAGCACTTGAATGAAAAAGAGAATAATTACAGCGAGTATTTTACATCTACGGGTGCAGCGCGTCCCTCGATACACATTATCGATAACCTATAATCGACGCGTACTCATTGTAATTGCTCGGCTGCAGACTTGTAAACAATTTTGATTCATATACAGAAGTAACATACAATGTACGTGAGTGCGTGTGTGTATGGATGTAACAAGGTAGTTTATAGACAGAGTAATCATTAACACCTGCTATGTATCTCTATGGTGTGCACGCGAGTATTTGTTCACTATCTGATAAATCATCTGAGATTATATACCCCGAATGTAGAGTGTCGACGAGTTCGTGATTTTGCAGGTTACTTAAAGGCAGTTAAAGCGTTGATCTCGGTCCTGATGTGTTCTATATTTATGCGCCACTTTAAAGTAGTCATTATACATAGCAACTTGTTGGGAAAATTTCGCGCTAATTAGATTATGATAATCATATACCCAACCTCGATATAATTACAAAGTTTGAGCTTTTTTACTTGCCAATGCGTTTTCTATGCAAAATGCTTCGACAAAATTTAGCCAATTTAAATGTTTAAAGGCATTTTAAACTTCACACGTATAAAGTTAAATAAATACTAATATAAATGTCGATCAATAGCATACTTTGGTCATGTGGATTTTCAAGAGGAAAATTGACTCGTCAGAAAAAAAATTGAGAGGGTCGAGGATATTTGTTTATCGACTTACCTTAAATATTGTTATTATATTATGATGGGCAAGTTAATTATTTTTTAAAAGGTTTCATGTATGTGATTTCAAAATAAAATCGTTATTTTTTTTTAACATAAATATTGCATACATTTTCGAACGTTTATGGTAACGTTTTTATCGCGATCGATTTATATGAGGTCAGGGAAATTGCAAGAACGGAATATTTTTTCTTTAATTAAATCAATTGTAAAATATAGTTTTCTTTTTGTAAATGTTAATTATATTTCATTTTTATACAATATAAAAATGAATGCAGTCTTATGGCGCCCATGCGATATAAACCTAGTCTGTATGCAGACATGCATTACTCGTTCGTATAAAGAAACACTGGCGTAATAAATTCCTTTCGCAAATAAGAAAATTTCACATGTAAAATGAAAAATGAACACGAGTCAAGAGGCTCGTAGACGCGATGCGTACATATACACAGTCTCAAAGACGTTAAGCCACTAAATGCATGCACGAATATAATGCTCGCGCGGCGTCTCGTAAAATCAATCGACTTACGCGTTTCATTTTCCACGAATAATTAAGCGAATGAAATTGCGAGATGAGGTATTGATCGACGCCGCATATAATGCTGCATACGAGCGCACACTAATGTCACTCGCGACCGAGCTCGGGCAGATTGCGTGTGAACGGCCAGTGATATTTTTTCTCCTTTTCTCTCACTCTTGAAAAGTTATAAATACATGATACAGGTGTAGTTTCTTGGCTCGCAATTGCCCGAGCTTGGGTTTTAATAATTAAAAGCGTATCAGTAGAGGAGCGAGCTCGCTACAGCGCAGGTTGGAAAGTGCTCGGCAGCATATTACGCGAATTAGCTATATATATGTATGGTTTTTAATTACGAAGCTGTAACTCGATCAGTTTCGATATAATCTTGTATATTTTTCACACTCATCAAGGAAGTATCCTTATTGCATGTAACACACAAATGCATTGAGTAACAACTTGTTCAGTCGACGCGAAATCGCTCCGATAATATGCGTACGCGTTTTCTGCCTACAACTGAAACCTTGTCTGGCATAGCTTCTCCATGGGATGCGACGAGTGTGTCACATTATACTTGAACGCGGCTACGTGCACAGGCGTATGTATATGTGTGTGTGTGTACGTCATCATTAACTGGTACCATAATAATTCCTCGGTGACAGCGGTTATATGCAGTACTCTCGAGAGTCGTAGTACACATATTATACGCTCGACGAATACCCGCCGATTCATATATATCCTCCGAAACTACAAGTTTATATGTATGAGCAAAAAAAAAGTAAAAAGTCGTAGAGAGAAAAATTAGACTCTCGTTACGTATGAACTCTCGCTAGCAAACACACGAGCACAATCTTATATTACTTCATCATCAGGTATGCAGAAAAGCGATCGACGAATTTCCGCGATTCCGTATCGAATGTCGCCCGTACGTGCATATAATGTACTCGAGTGCGTACCGCACGTACAAGTTGGCGATCGCGTGTGCAACTCTAGGCTTTACGCAGCGCCGTTTAGATACTAACTTATATATACCTATGTAAGTATGTACGTATGTATATATGCATTACGTTGATACTCGGTGCAGCGTAGTTTATATGCAGGTAGACGCTCGTGTGTGCGTAAATAGCTAGTACAAAGGTGACCCATAGAGAGCGATCGTCGCTCGCTATCGCATCGGGTGGCTCGTTATACAATCCTCGTGCGGAGCTGCTTCTCTGTACTAGCTATACATTATGCATTATAATGCCCTGTGCGCGCGGATAGTTTCATCTCTTTTTTATTTTAAGTATGCGCTATTGTGCATGTGCCCGGACTCTTTAGCGGCGCGCTCCTTCGCTACAGGCGCATGCGATCGAAGGTGTGGCATTCGAAATGAGCCGCGCTTAAATATTCCTATCTCGGCTGCGCCACGAGCTCCCTCCGTCCGCGGCTTGTCTTTTCTTTTTCTTTTTTCCCCGCTCCACGGCAAAATAAATGCCTTATCAATCGGCCCGAGCACCCGCATGCATATTCATGCGAAGAAGCTTCGTTAAGGAGATAAGGGTTCGTCTAATTTCTGGCCTCGCGAGCTCAATTAAAAGCCATTGCTGCACATATAGGCTATAGGCGCGTGCAGATATGCTAAACGAAAACGAAAGTGATACATCGAACGTGTAGTGTGCTCGCGCGCCCGAGAGACATTAGGCGCCAATACAATTCCCCCGCGACGACTCGCGCACGACCCACTACCTCGGCTTTCCGTCCATGTGTATGTGTGAATGTGTGAGCAAACGTTCCCTCCGATTCTAGTGTGCATATACGCAGCGTACGTGTCTATGTCGCGACTCGTCGCGGCAGCGGCGGGGTTTCAAATCCCGCGAAATGAAAGTGAATCGGCTATATAAAGGGTAATTTTGCACTTCTACGCGCGCAGAGCAAGTTCAAATATAGCCGACATTAGAACTGTGTATAGCTTTATTCGCACGAGCACAAGCACATTGAGCGAGTACCACACAGCCGGAAGACATGAGGGTCCTGGTACGTGTTTTTTACGACCAAATTTTTATTCTTCTCTCTTTCTTTTGTTTTCTGTCTTTTTCCACGGGCCTTTCTTGCTTTCGTTCACCGCCGAGATTACGAAGCACGATAGAATTTTCACAGTGAATTTATGCACTCGCTCGCGTCTTGGACGACCGTCTTAAAGAGTCATTGTGATTTTACTTGCGATCGAGCTAGTTTTTTCTTCCTCTCAGACATCGAACTTGCTAAAAGACTGCACAATTTTAACGGATAAAAAGTTCTTTAGCATCACTCAAGTAAACTGCTCATAAGTTTGATTTCTTGCATCGGCGAGTTTTGTAAAAAATAGCTTAAAATTGAACCTCATCTTTTGTTGTGAATTCTCTATAAATTAATTATTGTTTATAATCGATTAATTGAAAATAAACATGAACTTCACTGTGTCATCATTTTCAATGCGCATCGGTGTTTTTTCATTTAACTTTTCGTTTGCTATTTGTGTGCGCAAAACGTAACGAAAAAAAAATTATGCACACTTGTCATACTCGGAAGTTCGGCTATTTTCTGCTCGAGAAGCGCTCTGAACCACCGTGCAAGCAGCAGCAACAGACGCAGCAGCTACCTATATACGGTCGTCCGCCTCTCTTTTGCTCTGTGTAGTGTGCTTGAAGCGCGAAATTGGGTAATCGCTTGTACTGATCAGAGTATAAAAGTGCATCCTCAGTGTTGTATACCATATCCTTTGAAAGAAGTTGAAAAAAAAAGCTGTAAAAGAACACCAAGACTACTAGCCCAGCGAGTTTTGTATGATACACGGTAGTCTGCCTTCTTTGACTTTTGCGCGGTAAAATAATTTTACCGCGTTTATATGTCTATATGTGCGAAAGCAGCGCATATACAAAGAACGGCTTGAAAGTTATGTTTCGAGATAAAATTCGTACGTGCTCTGATAGCAAATAGTAGTAAAATATTAAAATATATTTTTACTTTTGGTTATTTCAATTTAGCCAAAAATATTTTAAAAATTTAACATAATAAATGAAAATTTAATTTTTTCTTAATTTTATTAAAACTAGTAAATAATAACATATTTGATGTTCCATTGAATGATTGTGTTTTTGACAATGAAAGAATGAATTGATCAATTCGAGCAAATAAATAAATTCTGACAAAGCTCACAATAAAAATTTTTGTTTAAAAAGAGCATTTTAATAATTAAAAATATCTAATAATTTTAATCGAATATAATATATATTTAAATAGAGGCTTACACAAATTATAATATTGACTATGCTACACGATATTACTATGATTAAACTCCAAATTACCCGGATTATATAGGATTATGTAGGTTTCTTGGGGTATCAGACTTGATTTATTTTGCAGAGGTTCTCAATGGATTACCTGCATACTATAATAGTTTTTTTTATTCAACTCACTTTTATTTATTTTTGATTATTTAGGCTCATCAAAAAAGAATTTAAAACAAAAATATTTTTATTGAATTGAACTTGATTTAGTCAAATCAGTTATTTCAAATGAATTCTCAATTCAGAATTTTTGAACGCGCACTACCTACATATGAGATTGGATATTGAATGTCCACGTAGTAATTTATAAATTGTGTGTTTTTTAAATGTGAATTTGAGAAATGTTTGTTTCATTCGACTCACCATAGATTGTTTTCGTATTTCATCATAACAAGGCATAACCGAGTAGTTAATTTTCTTCAGTGTGATCAATAAAAGAGAGAAAAAAAAGAACGAGTAAAAAAATGTAAAATAAACTTGCGCCAATTGGGCAGAAGTCATAAATCTTGGCAAAACCGAAGTAGCGTTAAAGAGTTGAAAGAGACAAAAAGAAAAGTCTTTACAAGCAGGCTGCGCGTGCGCATTCCGATGGGCAGGCGCCAGGGTAATTTGTCTGCGAGGATCGCCCTGTGCTTTCCATTGGCCATAATGGACGGATAATTAATCATTAACTCGTATTTACTCTTCTCCCGAATATGCATACATATCCAAAAATACAAGACACGGATTATCCTCCTCTGGTGTAGCGCTCTGGAGGCCCTTTAATTTACTCCCCAAAAGCACAGGAACATCGTGTTCTCTTTCTACCGGGATCTTCCTCTATCGAGTCGAGTCGTTTATTTAATTTTTTTCCTTTGGGCTTGCCAAAGTAGCAAGCGTATCGGCTGTAAAATGTCCCACGACTCGCGGAATTCACACGATCGCGAAGGAGCTTCGATTAAATTAAACGAAGCAGTTGGATAAGCCCGAGTCGGCAGGTGTCGTGCAGCGCCGTATGTAATAATAAGCGCGCGACACAAGTCAGAACGCAACAATGCGCATCGCGCTCATATAAAGTTGGTGCCTATATGACGCTACGACGAAAGTATTGCGATCTATATCTATAACGATCAAACGGGAGACGACGACGAGTTTCGATCGAATAAGTATGTAAGCGCGATCGACTTGCTGCACATGAATGAATGGACGCGGTGTGCTCGTCCTCGTTGTCGCCTCTCGTGCAGCAGGCAATTGTGTGCGCGGCGCAACACGTCCATGTCGCTAAATCGATGCGTACGCATGCTTGGCTTGCATCAAAGCTTTCGGTTCCCATCGTGATCGCACAGTGCACTGCATACGAATACATATGTATGCCGCACAACGTAATGGTTGTTACTACACGCACGCAGACATCGACACGAGTCGCTTGAGCCGCACACAGGACGTTAATCAATATGCGAATATTGCGCATACGCGCCCTGCACGGCTAACGCACCGCGTGTGAAAAGTTCGCGATTGTAAGGTGTATAATAGTTATCGCCTTCCAAAGACCAAAACAGATTCGACTCGGCTGATTATCTCAAGTTTAGAGGAGTAGAAAAGAACTTATACCTTGACAGCGCGCGCACCTATGTTCTGATAATCGTTGCGCAAAATTTTTACCTTCGACTCATTCACACAATATATAAAGGCACAGCCTACAGCAAAAAATTTCGCGCAGCTGTTCCAATAGCCTATTCCAATGATTAATGAAAGGGGATACAGGTATAATTTTCCGAAGCTCGTTCTGATGAGAGGATGTGTGTAGTATATTTGATTTAAGTCAATGTCGATACGAACAACGAGTTGTAAAAAAAGTATTGCATCAACGGAAGTATTATGCTCACACACCGCGTCCTTTTCACTAATTTGATAAAGAGATTAAAGTATGTTGTCGTGGTATGAAACTTAGAACTTTCTTCCGATCGATGTCGGTATGATTATTATCAAATGCAAGCGCGAATGTTATTTGGCGGACGGATAGCACTAATTGTACGTTGTGTTACTTTTCGAAACGATACTTTGAAAGGAAATTCGTGTGTGGACACAGTGGCATCGCTATTACTTAAACGTAGACTCGGCCGCTTCGAGTAATACGCCTTTTCCACCGATCGCGACTTCGCAAGCCTCCTTGTGCCGCATCCGTTGTGCTGAATATTTTTTATGGCATAAATAGTTATTAACTCGATGCGCTAATTAGCATTGAACTGCATTTTTGAAGGTATTAGCAATGGTGGTGGCGGTGGCCTTCGCCGCTGACGAAAAGAAGCCAGCCGAGCCCGAGGCAGCGGCTGCAACCGAGACGAAAAAAGACAAACGCGGTCTTTTGCTGGGCGATTACCACGGACACGACCTGTTCGGTCATCATGGCCACCATCTCGATCTTCATCATCATCATGTGCCAGCAGTGCATCATGTGCCAGTGCACGTACCAGTTCACCACACGGTGGTTAAACACGTCGGCGTCCCGATTCATGTGCCCAAACCCTATCCAGTCCATGTGCCCGTTGACCGGCCTTACCCTGTGAAGGTGAGTTCTCTTTGAAACTGAATAAAAATACAAACTAGTGATTAACATTGTCTTTCAAGATTCTATAGTATACGCCGTAGCACAGCCTATATACTATTTGAACTAGACTTTGCATGAAAATGTATTATTAATTTTTCCTTCTCACAAGTATGATAGAAAAAATAAGAGATATATCTTCTACGCAGCGCTGATGAGACTTTAGCAACCACAAATACAACACTTATCAATGAAATTCTATTGAGAGTATCATCATATTTAAACATTATTGACTTGATGAATTTTATAAAAGTTGTAGGTAAAATTTAGTTTCGTTCAAAAGCTTATAGCCCGTTAATTTTTTCGAAATGGACAGCTTTGATCGAGAATAAAGCTATGCATTCCCGCACGTTGTAAAAGCCAGTTGGCATCTTACCGAGCTGACTTTTACCTCGTTACAATGTGCTTAGACGAATAATAAATGCACGCACGCGAGCGTGTTTCTTAATAATCTCTCGCCAAGACAGTTATATGCAGCGCTCGTAGTAATAAGAAGTGCGACTAGCAAAATAAAATCACTTTGACTTTTTCGGTCTGTTACATATGGCAACGTAACTTTGAATTACGAAACTCGATCCCAACCAAATGCATCTATAGATTATTATGTGCCGTACAGGCTGGAGGGTATATAAAGCGACGATCAGGACGTAAATTACTCGGCATTATCGTATAGCTAAAGAAAAGCCTTAACTCGTTCTGCAGCTTTCAACACAAGATTTTCGCTTCGGAGCTTTTTCATTGAATTGCCGCTCAAAGACAGCAGCAGCTGCAGCCGCGACGGTAGTATAACGTCGAAAATTCGAGCCAGATACGACGCTTTACTTGGAGCACGCGCGAGATACAGTAGTTTACGTCTTTACAAAGTCTCTCCATAAACACACACTTAAATATATATATAATAATACATTTAGAGGCTGGAAAGAAAAGGGAGAAAATGCAGCGATCCTGCATCTTGATTTTCCTCTCGTTCACACGCGTTTAAAAGAAAAAGGAATACTTGCTGCAATATTATACGGCCTATTGCGTGCCCTGTTGCGACAAGTCGTTGTTTCGCGCTCGCGTATTAAACACGAGGACTCGCATACATACACGCAGAGAGTACTCGCCTTGCGCGCCCGAGAGAAGAATAGAAGCTGCTGCACTCGGCATTGTTCATTAGGTAAACTTGGCGAGTCGCACGACTACGAATACGAGCATATTTCAGCTCGGACGTTTTTCACTTGTTTTCTCGCGCTGACCACTTTACACGTTCGGTATTTTGTTTTTCGAGCCCCGACACGCGCTACGCTACACAGCCGATCGCGTTCAATCGAGAGCTGCGTTAGCAGAGGCGAGCTCGATACGTCGATCGCATTGTAATCCGGCTAATCGAAAGCGCGATTCCTCGTAATCGCGGCGCGAGCGCTCCGATTATTATTAAACGTTCCCACGTACGTCGAGTGCCGCGTGTGCAATATGTACATAAGGTGCGGTGGCCGATAAGCCGCTTCGTGCGTTATTCAGCAAAGACGCCAGTCGCGACCGATCACCTGCCTACTTTGCCGATACGAAATGTACACATGTGTGCACGAGGACTCGAGCCCATGAAAGGGATAGATTTGTGGCATAGCCTCTGGCTGCATCTATTCCCGTGCGCATGAGTGCTGAGCGTAGTATGATTAATCGGACTGTTTCTCGGCGTGAAGCAATAATTGTTCGCTGCAAAGTCGGAGCCATCGAGCCCCTTCGTCGTAATTACCGACTACAACTATACGTAATGACTATTTCGTCGGATTTTTTCTACGCTATCCTCGAAACGTAAGCTGCACGCGCGTACTCGATGCTGGTACACAATGTATATACGTATAGACTCTCCTCGGAGCTGTTGTCGGTTTTGTCGGCGCGCGGCTCGTTTCAAACCGCATATCTCGCTCGCCCGAGCAAAAAACAAAACTCCGCAACGGAGCTCTACACTCGATTCCATGTGAACGAGCATCCTATGCGCCCAACAAGCCGAAATATACGAACGCTAAGACAAAAGATGTTTCGCTCTCTCTCTCTCTCTCTTACTCTCTTTCTCTTGGGAAAATATAGAAGATGAAAAGATGGCGAAAAAAATCAAAGCAGCGCACGGGGCACGGCATCCATGCGTAAACCTGTGCGCCCGCCTCATGCGGAATTAGCCGTGTGTATGAAGTAGTCTCGGGTTACCCCGGGCGGCGTAATTCATGCGCGCTTGATCATTCAATATATTATTTAGACTCTGCTATGCGCGTACCTACCATAAGTGCAAACTCTTACTACAACATAATACAACATAATATAGTATAGGAGGTTGCGCAGCCAATCTGTGCTACATGTGGGCAATTTGGCGAATTTCATTCTTGAATTTTGTCTCGTGTGTTTCAATGCAGGTTCCAGTTGAGGTGCCAAAGCCCTACCCGGTGCCAGTGCCGGTACCGCAGCCCTACCCGGTCATCCACACGAAACACGTAGCCGTGCCAGTGGAGAAGCCCTACCCGGTCCACGTACCGGTCAAGGTGCCGGTTCACGTACCAGCTCCTTATCCCGTCAAGGTGAGTCAGCAAACTACCATTACTTTATGCTCTCGGTCTCTCTTTTTCTTTTTTTTTTTATGCGCCAAACAGAGGGAAAAAACTCATAGATATGTACAATGCGCGAGTTCGAGTCCTGGGCTCGCTCGCGCGCTTACCATGTGCATGTATAATAAGGAAAGGGCGCGCTTTTGTACTAGCAAGTAGATGTGCATACGTGTGTAAGTGTGCTTGTGCTCTGTGTATATCCATAGCTACTGCCGCAGCCGCCGATGCGACTGAATGAGCCTTTGTCTTTCTTTCTGCGCGCGCGCTCTGCTCTCGTGCATTGCTCCTTGCTTCTTTCTCTCTCTCGTGCGCGCGCGCGGCCACGCGGCTCGAAACAGCCAACCGACTGTGTGTCGGCTTTGCGCACTTTTTCATATTTCAAGGGCTCATTTAGTGCAAGCTTGCTTTATAAATGAAAAATACTCGCTCGTGCTCCTTTGCATTCGCTCGCCAGTGCACCAGATGATTGTCTTGATTGGCTTACTCGCTCTCGGCGCGATACACTTATAAATGTACAATAACACGAGCTTCGACGCGAGAAATAATAATTGTTCCAGCGATCGGTGATTATTATTGTTTGCTTGTATGTTTGTTTCTGCAACTGCTTCGCAGTAGTACGACAACTCGATATATATACAACGAGGATCATTATACACGTTCCCATATAGATGTAATAATATGCATTCCGGAGAACAGATATTTCTCGGACACGACTATAATTACAGTCGCGAATTCTAAGCGAAAAAGTCAAGCGCTTGAATCGACAATTGCAATGTTCAACTTGTGTGAGGCCAGTTTTACTGTCTCCATAATGATTTATTGCAAAATGTACTGCGCAATCATGTGCAAATTTTGAAACGAAAAAATTCAAACTCTCGCTAATGAGCTCGAGTTAAATATTGTTATTTTGATTGTGCTTATAATACTTACACGTATGGTCGTTGCGTGCTCGATTTTGCAGGTACCAGTCCACCATCACGTGCCAGTGCCGGTCCACGTGCCCCATCCAGTCGTAGTTAAGGAGAAAATCCCCGTTTACATCAAGGACCATCATCACCACGACCACTATGATCATGGCCATCTCCATGGTCTGCATGGTCTTCACGGGCACTACTTTTAAGTTGTAACTTAAACTTAACTTGCTTTTGCGCGGCTCGAGTTATCGCCTATGTACGTCACGCAGCCAAGCAGAGACAATCACTCGACGAAGACGGACGTCAGCCACCCTCTAATGACCACTACCACTGAAATCGGCAATGCATCGACGGTTCGCCGTACTTCTTTCAAGGATTATCGTTCATCTGTAAATGAAAGAAACATCTCTTTGATGCATAAAAAGTACGAACGAGTCCCGATGATGGAGCTCGGCCTATCAATGTCGAATACTCCACGCACCGCGACCAAAACGTTTACCACTGCAGAGATACAAAACAAAACAAAAACCAGATAATGTAATTAAATATATAGCGCCATTATACTGAAATATTCATATTAATGTGCATGTATCTTTGCAAATATAATGTGTGTAATTCATCACTTATATTTTATTATTATACATACATACATATGTAAAAGAGTTTTTATTTTAATAATAAAAGTACATTGAATTTGTAAAGTTTTTTTGATAACAAAAGTGAATCGGTCGTTTTAAATTACATCAACTGTCCAAAACGAACAGATGTGCTTATTGGTTCTTTTGTCAAGTCGAATTTATTGTTCGCAAATAAGTTGAATATATCAAGACAAGAGCCACGCGTAAACACGTCCATGTATACTGCTATACGTTACGAAATTCGTCTGATTGACTTTAATTGAGACACGAATACCTATTAATTAAAGTTCAAATGATTTATCACCTCGGTTTAGATGTACCTGTGGAGAGTGTAGTACGTATCGGTAATACCGTATAACGGACACGAGTTGGCAACGCTCAATTAATTAACATATTTTGCATAACACAGTCTAGAGCTTACGAGGGAATATTTGCGGGCAAAAGCTCCAAAAAATTTTGAGAGAAAAATAAGTTGAATAAATTTCAAAAGCCAAAAAAGTGTACAGAAGTGTGCTGGTCTAGGCCCGTACTAGTATCGCATCGTGCTTGTTTTATACGTATTTCTACATGCAAGCGCTAAAAATTTTACCGAGCGCACGAACCCAACTTGCTTCAGAACCGAGAGGACGACTGCTCGAGCGCGCGAGGCCATGACTCTCTCCTTGTGTGTGTGTGTGTGTGTGTGTGTGAGTATGCAGTATTATACACGCTATCCATTAGGCTGTGCAGCTCGCAACGATCGATATCGATGAAACAGCATCGGCATCGCGGCCGCGCGGTAAGGAGCGCCTCGCGTGCAATGCCTCGTACGTACATACATACGTAGATACAATTGTTTATATATTTATATGCATGCACTCGTACTCCCAATGAGGATTTTGAAATGCTCCTCGTGCTCTCTGCGCGTATAAGTAAGCGCTGTGGCAGGCTGAACGGCGAGAGGGACAGTGGCAATTATAATAGCTCGCAGCAAGAGGGTGTTTCGACACTTCCTCGCTCGCGACAAGGGCGACCTTTTACGTACTGAATGCGGAGAGAAGAAAACAGCAGGAATTTAGCTGCTGCTGGGGCTGTCTCGCGCGAAACGACTTCTCGCGCGCGATATATAGTCACTCCGTGTCCTGGAGATAGATTAATAGATGAGCTGCCTAGAACGAGTATATATATTGCACAGTGCTCTGTGTAGTCGCGATGCATATACAACGTACTCGGGTGATTGTTGCTTTTCTTGCGCGCTTACAAAGTCTCCGCAGCATCCCCGTATATGAAGCGATCGCGCGACTATGGACTGCAAATTATATGGAACAGGTGGTTATTCAGATGCAACCAGTAGCCGGGCTCTATTCGTTGAGCCGCATGGAGTTCTCGTTTTATAACGACTGCGGCCGCTGCAATACCATGCTAATGTCATTCCATTTAATAAGCCAGTTGAATATAACATTGGCAGGGTATGCGTTTAAACAGAAAAGCCAACATCGAGATTACATGAAGCCAGTCAACAGCCCCGATAGTCTAATAAATATCGAAAGTAAAGTCTCTAAAAATTCTCAAATTGACCGAAAAGACAATAATTTCAAAGTTATGCTCTGAATAATTAAAAAACATCATTCCTGAAATCAAACAAAATACACTGCTTGTTACCGTTCAAGTTCATTTATGCGAGCTCTCGTGTCTCTAAAATGTCAGTCTTCATTTACAGCATTAAGCTGTAAAAGTTAAAAAAATTATTTTTTTGAAAAACACATATAACAACCCTTTTCAATGCCCCGTTTGAAAGTATTTTGTCCAGATATGCCCGATCAAAATGAGCTCAGATTGAACATGACCAAGACGAAGGCGATACTGTTCGCCAGCTCTCAGCTGCGTCGATTCTTTAATGATTTGGAAGTTCCGACACATATCGTAGGCAAGGCCCGTTCGAGAACAAGGTCTGCAATGTCTGCTGTATCTCACTACACGTAGCCTCGCACATTCTTGGCGGGTGTTCATGAGTCCAAGGTGTTCTCCATCGGGTATGCTTATAGCTGCCCCCTGAGAAGAGAGGTTGTTCTGAACCTTGTGCTGCCCTTGATGGACAACAGCTGTGGTATGTAGCTCGAACTGCCCGAATGCCTAGCCACCAATTTGCAGCATCTCTGGCACGCGACTGTAAGCTTTGTCTTCTGACTGCAACGTGACGATCGACTAGCGAAACGCATAAGACAATTTTTCATCAGAGTTCTAGTGTACCAGACTGTACCGTCAATTCTTCCTCGATACCTCGGCAATATGTTTTATGGAAGGAAGATTGGAGGTGCGACGCAGACTTGGCGCAGTCTTTGGCTCCAACTGATGGTACCGGAATCCGACTTTGAGTTGAAGTGGTGGTCTTTTCCCGTCGAGGAGGCAAGAATGTGGAACCAGCAACCGTTGACGGTTCGCGACACGGACTCGCACCTTGAGAATCATCGTTAGGAAAGATTTGTTTGTCGTGCCCTAATCATATTCATGCTTTTATTTTTTATATCTCTGACTTTGTAATTTTCTTTATGTGTCGTACTATCTATCATCTACGGTTATTCAACTAGATATGTTTTAATCTCTTGTACATACACGTTTTAGTTCACTATCCCTCCGAGACGATCTTCAATAAACCAAATCATCTATTTGCCTTATCACAGCTGGTTTTATGGTGAATAACGTAAAATTAATTAATCAATTGAGTTATGATTTTACCATTGAAATTAAAGATCAAAAAAGGAACTTTTCAATTAAGCACAATTTAATTGAAACCATCCTCTTTACCTATTAATATTTATATCTATATCGACCACTTAAATGGTAGTTTTTCTCAAATAAAATAAAAGTCTATGCCATTATATTAATAAACATCTTCTTTCACTAACCTTCGATGTTCTACAAATATTGTGCAATATTTTAATTTGCTGCCACGAAAGTAGCTTTTTATTGCTTAAACCAAAAATTATATTGACTCAACAAAATTAATTTTTATTGTCTCCAACAACACGTTTTTTGGTGCACATCACGATCTTTTTTTCTGTGCTCCTACAGAAAACTTTAGGTTTTTATATTACTATTTACAAATCATAATGGATTAGCATAAATGTTTTATCTAAAAAAATATGTAAGAATGAAGATGATATAGAATGAAAAATCGAAGATAAACTTATGAAAGCGATTTTAAAGTAACTATAGTGAATGAAACTTGCATCCTATAAGTCAAAGTTTGTTGGAGAAAGTGGGTTTTTCGAAGTACTGTCTACACTACACGTGTATAGTTAGCAAATGGAAACGTTGTTTCGAACGAAGCGTAACTATTAAAGAGCCGCAAGGGTACGCCATAACGTACAAGTTTGGCCAAAGCACACGGCTTTGCAACATCAAGCAAATATACAAGCAATATACATCAAGTAGATATAGCGTTAATCAATACTAAGCTATTAAAACTAAAGTTTAGCTCATACACTATACTGCGTACTGAAATTCGATTGTATCACAAACAATAGTCAATGCACGTGATTAAAGTGTTATGGCGCGCTGCAATTAGTATTCGCTTAGGTTTTCCTAGAAATAATCTGTAACCTTTATTAATACATAGCTTTTGTCGTTATGTATATTAATTATACTCTTGGATGAACCAATGAATTCAACAAAATATTTATTTCTGATAATATTCGTGTGTTTTATTGGTTAAGTGCAAACGAAATCATAAGAAAGTACAGAGAAATTTGAGCGATGATGGCGTACTTTGATAATATATAAGTTAAATGAAACATTTATCAAACTTGAGCGTTCTTTTTTTCTGGATATTTCAAATTCTTTGTGGGTTTCGGTAACACTTTCATTGCATACACTCATCTTCTGCAACAAGATTTCATCATTTTATTATCAGAGCATCCGTCTTATAAATGCTGATTCCACGACATGAAGTTCATGATTACAATAAGTTGTCGATAAGACAAAAATAAATGGCGTAGTAAATCCTGGGTGACTTAATGTTACTGTTAAATTTCTAGGATTTATTGACTTGGGACATTTTAGTTGAACATTAAATTTTACTCATACTTATTCAGATTTGCATAATAATATTACCCTTATGCACAACACGCACTTGTTCATATTCTTTAATGGAAATCCAAAGAATAACGAGAAAAATCATGATTGATAGTTAAAACTGATGGTGTATAATAACTTCAAAATTAAATCTATTCTTTCAGCATACGCGGAATCGGCAGATTTTCCAGCGTCATTATCATCACGCATAAATCCGACGAGTAAATGATATATAGCAATCAAATCGACATTACTCAGATACCGTCAAAGACCACACAGATGAGTGTACACCCATAAATTAAAACTTTTTTTGATGACAGATGCAAAAAATATATTAAGTCCAAGACAAGTACTTCTCTCGATAACCCGTTGAAAACATAAATTTCGGTTTAAAAAAACTGTTTGAAAATTTCAGAGAATTTAAAAAAATTAAAAATATAACTGAACCAATCGTCAACTTTATTTACAAAAGTAATAGAAAATTTGGAAATAATTCGGTTTGCCTTTGTTTAATTTCATAAAATTTATTGAATTCAAGTCTATATGAAGTATCTATAAGCGATATGTTTATTCGAATACTTTGTATTACATTTATATCGTACATTACACAATCGAAAATTCATAGAAATTTTTCCCTAACAAACTACAGCCAAATTTAGATGAAATAATAGGTAACGAAGTATGGGGCATGCGCATTTAAACACAGCAAGGCATTGTTAAATAGGTAGTATCAAATACGCGTAATTCTATTTGCGTTGTGTCGCAATATCGTATTGAAGAAATGCGAATTGGTCAGCCGTACGAACGATCCGACCACTGCCGCCGCTGCCGTGTTAAGTTCTGTATATGTGCGCGCGCGCGAGTATGAATAAATATTATCTGCGCTCGCGAATCGCTAATACAGAAATTCACCTGCCACGCTATAGCTCTC